CATACTGTGAGTGAGCTAAATGGCCTGACAGTGGGACTACACCCTTCACTCAGGAGGAGGCTCTAGCTAATCTGACTGGGCTGCAGCGTCATCACTCCTTTCAGTGCCAGAGTTCATCAGTGAGCTCTGCCAGGAGTGCAGGAAAGAACACGAGGAGGAACCTGTCTGTGCCAGGAAGGTTAAACCCTGTTGGTTTAGAACGATTCCAGAGCCCAGGAAGGAGGGCGAGGAGTTGGTAAACAGCCAGCTTATGTTGGGCAGGCAGTGTGAAGGGAAGGAGGCTTATATCTTGGGTGGGTAATGGTGTCCCTAATGCATGCAGAACGCCCCTCCCAAATGAAGTGCTCCCCTTCCTTACATCCTTTCCACGTGAAGGCTGTTAACAACAGCCTGCTCATTCCTGCTTGACCGTCCATGCTGACCATATTTTGGCATCAGCAGCATATTCTTTATGTCAACAGACTTGTTAAAATGACCTTTATTTAGTTATCCAAATATGACAGGTGGGCTGCCAATTTCAGCGCCTGCTCACTTGGCATTTTACCTTCATGGATGAGAGGGTCACAGGCTGGGTCAGCATTTATTGCCCATCCCAAATTGCCCAGAGGACAGTTAAGAGTCAAACACATTGCCATTGGTCTGGAGTCTCACTTGCCATACCTGGTATTTTTGGCCAATCTCCATCGCTGAGGGAAATTAATAAATCAGATAGGTTTTAAACAGCAATAAATATATGGTTACTCATGGGTTAAGTTTTAATTCCAGATTTTTGTTGAATTCAAATTTCACCATTTGCTGTGGTGGTACTTGGGCTGTTGTCCCCAGAATATCACCCTAGGGTTCTGTCGAAGAGACTAGATTAAATCACACACCAAAGGCCCAGACTTCAAGGCAAAGAGATTTTATTCATGATATCACGGAGAGTCAACGCTGACAAAAGATCAGGTCCGAAGACTCCGACAAGTACAAAAAAGAAGCAGAATTTATACAGTGGTACAAACAAGTTAAAACAAACTGCAATTGTACTGTATTTTTAGCCAGGCAACGTCATTACTTAGGCAACCAGATATACATTAATTAAAGTGGAATGCGATGAAGATAAGAGTGTGCAGATGTTGTGAGCTCTAGCTTTTTGCTATCTGTCCTACATGACTTCTCAGACTAGGGAAAGGCAGGTTGCAGTTACAGCAATATGTACTCTTTCATAAAGCTACAGTTTCACTACTTTGTGCTCCTAGTCATATATTATTTTAACTCATTACTACTCAGCCTAAATTAAACAGTCTCAACATACAAGTACTCCACAGGTTCTGAATTATTACCCCAGTGCCATTACCACGATGGCACATCGTTGGCAAAGCTCAGGGATAGGATTGAATCAGAGGATGGTTACAGAACACAGGGCATTTATTCTGAACATCAAGCCCATGCTGCTTCTCTGAAAATGTGGTTTGGCCAGTCCCAATCCTCTGTGTTTTCTCCATATTCCTGCATTTTTTTTCTTCTCTTCAGGCACTTATCCAATACTCTAATTGTTTTGCCTTCATCATGCTCAAGGTCGGGATGTTAAGGCCTCCCTGGGAGCTGGCCAGTCGGTGGTAGAGGGGCACCTACCTGCCTTTACTGGTATTTTATCCCTGGTCGGCAAGGAGTGGATGGCCCAACTGATCATAGTGTCACAGAGTCATAGAGTTATACAGCATGGAAACAGACCCTTTGGTCCAACCAGTCCATGGCAACCATAATCCCAAACTAAACTAGTCCCACCTGCCTGCACTTGGCTTATATCTCTCTAAATATTTATTATTTATGTACTTATCTAAATGTCTTTTAAACATTGTAATTGTACTTGCATCCACCACTTCCTCTGGAAGTTCATTCCACACACGAACCACTCTGTGTAAAAAAAAAATGCCCCTCACATCTTTTTAAAATCTTTCTCCTCTCGCCATAAAAATATGCTCCCTGGTCTTGAAATCCATGGGCCAATTCAGGCCCTTAATTGGCCAGATAAATGCCAGTGAAGATATCTGGATTGTCCAAAACTGATGCTGAATTGAACAACCTTGTGAGTCAGAAATTCATGGGCTATCAACTGAGCCACTCTTAGGAGCCATCTAGTAATAGAACATAAGACATAGAACAGTACAGCACAGTACAGGCCCTGAAGCCCACGATGTTGTGCCGAACATTTACCCTAAACCTAAGGTCTATCTAACCTCCACCCCTACCTTATACTATCATCCATATGCCTGTCTAATAGCCACTTAAATGCCCCTAGTAATGGGATAACAATACCTGGATACTTGACTTAATGCTTTCCAGCAATATGACATTAACCATATTGCTTTTCAGGAGCGATATTGAAAGGAAGAATCGCGAGAAAAATAGAGAACACTAACATTGTCAGAGTGCCTCAAAGAAGTGGTAAGTAATCTTGAATTCCAGCATGGTTGGATCGAGTGACAGTGTGCAAGGATCTTCAGGAAATGGGGCTGTTACATTTTGGCTCACCCCCAAACATTGTACTCATGCCCAGCTTGGAAGGCAAATTTCATAAGCAAAGCCACAGCTCTATCGAAGCTCAACATAACCTTATGAGTGACTGCAATTGGATACCATGTGCCCCAAGGTTAGAAATGTGCCTGCTTAGTGCCAAATTATGGTGGATTTGATGCAATTATCCCACCCAATGCCTTTGAGCTCAGATTGTCAGTTTCTGCCCGAATGGAGCATGTTTTTGAAGGGGCAGGAATTGGATCCACTCAGAGATATTTCCTTGACCACAACTGATCTTCTGACCTAAGGACTTTTAACTGATTTTCATGAGTTCCTGGGTCTTCCATGCAGCAATGACATATTACTCTGCGTATGAAAGATATGTTACTCTGTGTCAGTGAGATGTGACTAATTGCCAGTGGCATTTTTCTATGTGTCATGAAAATGTAATTCTGTCTGTGAAATCCTCTCTGTTAGTGAGATGTTATTCTGTGTATCGAAGAAATATGACTCTGTGAGTCGGTGAAACATTACTCTGTGTATAATGAGATAACACTCAGTGTGTAGTGAGATGTCACTATGTATCAGTGAGATGTTACTCTGTGTGTCAGTGAGATATAATTCTGTGTCAGTGAGATGTTACTCCACGTGTAGTGAGATGTCACTCTATGTATCAGTGAGATGTTACTCTGTATCAGTGAGATATTACTCTGTGTGTCAATGAACTGGGACTTTGTTAGTGAGCTGTGAACACAGGACTTAGGAGCAGGAGTAGACTATTTGGCCCTTTAAGCCTACTTTACCATTCAACAAGTTTGTGTTTGAACAGGTTTTAGCTTCTTAGAGAAAGAAAATCTCTTTCCATTTTAAGAGTGGGTTTTCTCAGTGTTAACTGGCTTCCTTGTATCTGCCACATATCAATTCATCTTGTGACCTTGTGTATTTCAAGTGGAGAGCATCTCATTCTTCTAAACACAAGGGATTACAGGCCCAACATTTTCAACCTTTCTTCCTAAGAAAAGCCCTTCATCCCAGGTATGAGCCAAGTGAATCTTTTCTGAGATAACACAGGAAGTAGACGTCAACTTTCCTGCTCCTCTGATGCTGCCTGGCCTGCTGTGCTCCTCCAGCTCCACACTGTGTTATCTCTGACTCCAGCATCAGCAGCTGTTACTATCCCTGAGTGAATTTTTTCTGAACTGTTTCTAACACAATTGCATACATTTCTTAAAGAAAAGGAGTCCAAATCAGTGAGCAGTGTTCCAGATGTGGTCTCACCAAGGCACTGTAAAGCTACAGTGAAACTTCGCGACTTTAATATTGAATTCAAGAATGGTCACCACATTACAGGAAGGATGTAATTGCTCTGAAGATAGTGCAGAGAAGATTTACTAGAATATTTCCTGGGCTGGAGAATTATAGCAACAATGAGAGGTTGGGCTTGTTTTCCTTGGAACAGAGAAGAGTGATTCTCTGATTGAGATATACAGAATTGTGAGGGATGAAGATAGAGTAGATGAGAGAATTCTGTTTCCAATGGCAGAGAGTTCAAAAATCAGGGCTCATAGATTCAAACTAAGTGGCAGAAGGATTAGAGGGAACATGAGGAAAAACCTTGTTATGCAGGGGGTGGTGGGGATCTGGAATTTGCTGCCTGAGTTGGTGATGGAGACAGAGAACTCTTTTAAAAACATACCTGGATCTGCACCTCAAGTGCTGTAAGCTGCATGACTATAGGCTATGCGCAGGAAGATGTGATTAGAAAGGGTATTTGGAAGTCTTTGGGTTGGCCTGGACAAATTGGGCTGAATGGTCCCCTGCTCTGCTGTACCTTTTCAATGGCTCTAGGTTCTATTCGCCTTGAAATAAGTGCCAACGTTCCATTTCCCCTTCTGATCACTTGCTGACCCTGCATGCTAGTTATGAATCATGTACCAAGACACTAAGATCCCCCTATACACAGAGTTCTGTAATTTCAATTGTTATAGATAGTATCCTCCTTTTCTATTCTTCCTGCCATAATGGAGATCACACATTTCCACATTATACCCTATTCACTTGTGGATATCCTTTTGTAGATGCGTTACCCACCCCACTCCCCCACCAACCTTGACAATTTATTTTACTTCCTAGTTTGATGGCATTGATAAATTTAAATGCTGGGCTAATAGGCCTTTGGTTTACTGCTTTTAATCGCCCCCCTTTCCAATCTGCTTAGACTCTCCCAGAATTTTGATAACATTGGAAGGTTATAATCAATGCCTGTACAAATTCAAGAGCTACTTCTTTTGAGATTGAAGGATGCAGGTCGTCTGGTTTTGGGGACTTGTCAGCCTTAAGGCCCAATAGTCTTCTTTGGTGATAAAGATTGTTTGAAGTTCCTCTATCCCTTCTACCTCTTAATTTTTAGGTTTCTTTGAAAAGTTTTTCAAGACTTCTGCAGTGAAGAGAAATTCAAAATACCTATTGCTATCTCCCTATTTTCCTTTATCAATTCTGCCAGGTTCTATCTACAGGAGCAAAACTAGTCTCAGTCAGTTTTTTTCTTATTCAAATACTGCAGAAACTCATGCTATCTGTTTTTATACCTGGCTATCTGTTTGCCATTCTTTGATTCCTCTCTCTGTTTATTTTTTAGTCATTCTTTGCTGTTTCTTAAAATCTGATCAATTTTCTGACCTACCACTAATCTTGACAGATTTGTACAATGTTTCTTTAAATTTGATGTTATCCTCAACTTGTTTATTTAGCCATGGATGATGCATCCTTGCCAGAGACTCTCCTTTCTCATTGAGTTAACTCTTAGTTGAGCGCTATTAAGTATCTCCTTATTCTGTTATTCTTATTTTTGTTATTGTGTACATCAATAAAATGTTTCCTTTTTCAGTGAAGTATTGTACTATTTGTTTGATGGTTGCACCTGAAATTTTTCGTATGTATTTATTTTTGTCTTTCCTTTTAATAAGGAACACAATCAGTTCAAAGAGACAGCAATCTTGCAACCAATGAGCTTTCTGCCTCGAATGCTAATGTTAAAGGAATTCTCATCAAGCAAGTCTTAGAATCAGGTATTAAACCAATCACAATGCACACTCGGGAGGGGACCAATATGCAAATATAGCTGAAATGTAACTTTGTTTTTCTTCATTTCTCCATTCTGTAATTATGGATTGTACCTAGGTACTCTGTACCTCAGATGGTGCCGTGTGTGGTGACATTATTACACTGTAACTAATCTTGTAACTGAAAAAGCTGCACCTAAGTACCTTTGTAACTAAGATGGTGCTATAGGTGGCAACTTATAAACTTTTCACTGTACTCATGTGAGTACATGTGACAATAAAGCTAATTCAATTCAATTCAATTCAATACTCTCGCACTATAAGCTAGAAGTATGAAAAGAAACATAAATTGGGGTGAGATTTATTAGAATCTACCCACTTGTAGATTCGTAGAACGATAAGATGGATAAGGAGGCCATTCGGTCCATTATAACTAGACTGGCTTTTGGAAAGACAATACAATTGGTCCCAAATCTCAGCTCTCTTCCCAGAACACATCAAATTTTCCCCTTATCCACTTTCCTTTAGAATGTTGTTATTGAATGTACTTCCATCACCATTTCACGCAGTGCATTACAGATCACAAGGACTTGTATGTAAAAAGTAAAACGAGAGAAGGCAGGCTTGTATTTGTATGGTACTAATGAAAGTAAAGTAAATTCTGTATCTCACACCATGGAAGTAGCCAGACCTGCAGAGTATTTCCAGCATTTTTTGTTTTTATTTCAGATTCTAGGCATCTGCAATATTTTAGCTTTCCATTTATAAACCACTGTTCACAACCTAAATATCTTCCAAAAAGAAGTAGAACCAAATAAGTACTTTTGAAGTTTAGTAATTATTGTAATTTTTAAACACACAAGCCAATTTGTTCAAAGCAAGTTCTCATAAATAGCAATGTGCGATATACCAGATAATCTATTACTGTGATGTTGATTCAGGGATGAAATATCATCTAGGACATTAGGGAGACACCTCCTCTCTTCTTTGATACAGTACTGTGGGATTTTTTGACACAAACCTGAGAGGACAGACAGGACCTTGATTTACTGTTTCAACAGCTCCAACATTGCAACTCTCCTTTAGGACTTCATTGAAGTGTCGACCTTGATTTTTGCATCCAATTCCTGGAGTGGGAATTGGCCCCATGAGCTTCCGACTCAGAGGCAAGAGTGTTAATGACTGACCCGTAGCTGACATGACAAAACTGTTTTGCAAAAAGAAACTTTGCTCACTTCCTCAGCGAATTTTGTGGCTTGGTGTATACAATGGTAGAATTTCTAGGCCATCTTGCAGCCTCAATGTACCACTTAGTGTCACCCTGTGACTTCCAAAGATTGTGCATAACAGGCCATATTCCCTTCCAGAGTTACCTTTTCCGGGCTCGGTATGAGTTTAACTCAAGATGATGGTAAGGTTCATTACAATTTGTGACATTTAAAAGGCCCGACAGTGGCTGATCAGTGTATTGATTCTTCTTGAGATGAAATGTTACTAATCTGGAATTTGAAGTGTTCAGAATTATGAAGATTTTTTGATAGAGCACATAAGGAGAAATTGTTCCAGTGGCTGGTCACAGTATTAAGCTGAATAGAGACCTTACAGAGTGGAGCACATACACCTACCATGCTATGTTAACTCAATATTATTATAGAATTGCAGATCTCTTCCTTGAGGCCGTTTCCAGCTTGACTGATGCTCTATAAGTACAAAGCTGAAAAAAGTAAGAGCTTCCACCTCACTGTAGAGGTGTTAGGACAATCCACATGGAACAACCTGCTCAAAAGCTGTTCACCTTTTGGCACCTGTAACAAATCGCCCCACGGCTTCTGTCATAATCTTCAAATTCTAAACAATTAACAACATCCTAAATAAAATAACCCAATGTACTCTAAAGAAAATGCCTGTCCCATTTCTCAACATTATTGGATCCATGAGAAAAGTTCCAAGATCCAAATCCATATGCTGTCCCAAAACTGAACAGTCCTTTGTTGAGTCACACCCTCAGTGTACCATGTTCCAATTTGCCCATTCATTTTTGAAATATATAAAAATTGGGGGAGGTGATGGCCTAGTGGCATTATCTCTAGACTATTAATCCAGAAACACAGCTAATGATCCAGGGATCCGCATTCAAATCCTGCTACAGAATTCAATTTGTAAAAAAATCTGAAATTAAGAATCTACCAATGACCATGAAACTACTGTCAGGAAGAACCCATCTGGTTCATTTATGCCCTTCAGGGAAGAAAATCTGCCATCCTTACCTGATTGTGACTCCAAACCCAAAGCAATGTGGTTGACTTTCAACTGCCTTCTCAGATGGCCCAGCAAGCCAAGGGCAGCTAGGGACAGGCAATAAGTGCTGGCCAGTCAGCGATACCTGAATGCCATGAGTGAATAAAAAAATGTATAGCTTACAAACAGGCAACCATTAATGGTGAACATATCACTCTGGCTACCTTCAATGACAGACGTAATAATAGGCAAAAGAACTAATGGTTAGACATACTCTGCCAAAAAGGGTGATCAGAGAAGCAGATTCAGTAATAACTTTAAAAGGAAATTGGATGTACTTGTAAAGGGAAAATTTGCAGGATTACATGGAAAGAACAACAAAGTTGAACTATTTGGAGACCATTTTCAAAGAGCCTCCATGGGCATCCTGGTCCTAATGGGTTCCTTTGTGCTGGAGGGTTCTAGATTTTGTCCCAGGGCGATTTGATTACTGAAGAGGAAAACTGATAGCAATAAAAAAGGAAGGTAAAAATTCAGTAAAACAAACAACCACATCCACCCTCAGCACACCCTTTCTCAATTCTCTTGTCAAATTATATAAACATTTTCTTGGAGAGATATATGACCCATATAAAGAGATCAAAGAAACAAAGTTTGCAGTGATTCATGTAAGAAGGTACAACAAACAATGAGTCCTATCACTGAAATAAATTTAAAAAAAACAGGGATTTAAGTGAGGTTTTGAAAGTTAGTAATAATTTTGAGATTATTTTCCATCTATTCACAAAATTTATCATGTGGTTCTGATGTGAGAATTATTGCTGGAAGAATGAAGAGAAAAACTAGTTCAATCATAAAATAATACAGAAGTTGCCAATCAGCCCACTGAGTCTGCCCTGATTCTTTTGAAGAGTAAACCAGTTGATCCCACTCTCTGACTCATTGTCCATATCCTTGCAATTAGTTTTGTCTACAAGTATTCATCCAATTCACTGCTAAAGGCTAGTATTGAATTTGTAGTTCCTAACATCAAGACAACATAAAAAACTATTTTGTTTTGCTCTGGGCAGCTCCTGGCTTGAACATTGATATAAAGTATTTATTGTGTGTAGCCAAATAAAGTACGTGCTAAAATTCCGAATATTCTGAAAATTATTTCATCTCAGTTTAAGATTTTCAAAGCTTTGGTTCTTTAGCCAATTTTATTAAGCCCATGCCCTCCAGTTATTGACCCTTGAACTGTTGGAACCAATTTTTCTTTTTGTTCTTATCTTAAACTTTTCTTAAACCCTAGTAAAAGCTTGCTCGGCACTCTCTGTTCAAAAAAGAACTTCTCTAATCTATGCACAGAACTGCATATTGTAGTTCCTGAAACAGTTCAATTTTTCTCTTGCTTAACTTCAATGGAAGGGTTTATTTCTCAGCTTCTCAGGAGGCAAAGATGAGTTCTGTTGCAGGGGAAGACCCTGGTGAGTTGGCGTACAGGAAAGCACTGATGAGCTTGCAAACTGAACTGCAGCATGCATTTGAGGCTGGATAGACAGCCTTCTGCCATTGTCAAGGAGTATGGAAGAGGGTATCAAATAGAGCTTGTCCTCTTCATAGTCTCTGGTTACCCTGTTATGGGAAGAATATTTTTAAACTGGAGGGGGTTCAGTAAAGATTTACCAGGATGTTGATGGGAATGGAGGGTTTGATATATAAAAAAAAGGGAAAGGCTGGGACTTTTTTCACTGAATCATAGGAGTTTGAGGGATGGCCTTATTGAGGTTTATAAAATCATGCTGGGCATTGGAAAGGTGAATGACAAGGGTCTTTTCCCTAGCAGAGGAATTCAAAACTAGGAGGCATCATTTGAAGGTGAGAGGCAAAAGATTTAAAAAGGACATGAGGGGCAACCTTTTTTACACAGAGAGTGGTTCGTGTGTGAAATGAACTTCCAGAGAAAGTGATGGATGCAGGTACCGTTATAATGTTTAAAAGACATATGGATAAGTTCATGAATAAGAAAGGTTTGGAGGGATATAGGCCAAATGCAAGAAGTTTAGCTTGGGAACATGGTCGACGTGGTCTTGTTGGGCCAAAGGGTCTGCTTCTGTGCTGTTTGATTCTATGACTCTGCTCCATCTCCCTGTCATCCTGCAGACCCAAAGACACTGCCACTGTAGAAAAGCAAGAACTTTATGCTAAACTTTTGAGTCACTAGTTAGGCTCCAAATGATCTTGTAGAAGATGCTAAACTGAGAACTGAAGTCAATATTGAGTAGGATAGTAAAATATTTTGGGAAGCCATACACAGCTTAGTAAATGTGCAATGCAATTTAATGGAGACAAATGTAGTTCAATGTAAATTGGTAAGAAAACCGAGGGAAGCAATTTAGATTAAGTGGTATAATTTTCAAATGGGTGTAAGGCACAGAACCCTCAGGGTCTATGCACACAAATCTTTGATGTGACAATATGACAAAAGTTTAGAACACAAAAGCAAAGATGTTGAACTAAACTTTTATTAATCATTAGTTTGGCCTCGAATGAAGCGCTGTATCTAATTTAGGAAGGACGTCAAGACCTAAGAGAGCAGTACTGGGGATATGTAACTTGAATTCAGATGAAATGTTAAGGGAAACAGGGAATGTTCTCATTACAGCAGAGAAAGTTTGAGAGAGGTTAATAGGAAAGTCCAAATCATGAAAAGTTTTTACAGAGCAAATAAGGAGAAACCTTTTTGAGTATCAGCAGGGATATATCATGAAGATGCTTGACACAAGAGGTGAGATGAGAATAATTTTCATACGTGTGTTGTGATGGCTGATGGAAGGAGTCAACAGCACCTTTCAAATGGGAATTGCAGAATATTGGAAGGGAAAGATTGGCAGTAGGGTAGGTGAATGAGTTTAATTGGATAACTCCTTCGAAGGGCTGACACAGGCATGATGGACTGAATTGCCTCCTTCTGTACTATGGTTTTGTAATAGGTGTTGTGAAGGATATTGACATCTGATATATTCCATTCAGGAATTTCCAAAAAGGGAATTAAGGATACTGGAGAAACTCACACTGTCAGTAAGCCTGAGGATCCCGGAGGGAAGAGTCGGAGTAAGGCCTGGAAGTTGGGCACTCGCTGCAGAGGAATACCCCAGGCACAGGTATTGCAGAACAGCAGGAACAACAATGACAACCCGTTTATACACAGCCTTTGATCATGGTTGAATTTGGGGTCTAATTGTCTGAGGGCACGGATACCATAGCTGGGTGAAGGGAGGTCGGGATACACAGCAGACCACAGCTGGAAGTATAGACAGTTCTGGGTGTGTTGTATAGCTGGACGATGTTACAGATGTGGAGATACAAGACCATGAAGACTTTGAAACATTGAGAAATGTTAGTTTGAAGGTTTGGGGGGGTGTGGTGCCAGGAATTAATGCAAGTCCAGACCTCTTTGTGATTTTGAAAACTTCTATCAAATTGCCTCTTAGCCATTTTTAGTTTACAATGAGTTCAAACCCTATATTTCCAGGGCTGAGCACACTGAGGGCACTCAGAGTATTGAGGGAGGCTTGACAGCACAAAGGTTTTGCTTGTCAACAGAAGGAAAGGCACGAGTGCAGGCCATGTCTCAGATTGCTAGTGGCCAAGTCAAGGAACCAGATACTTTATTGGATTTATTTTGGAGCAGTGTCAATCATAATGACCAGTGATAAATAATAAGATCCACAAAAGTTAGGTATGAGTGAGAATTACAAGGTCGTTGCCCCTGGTTCCCTCCAGGCCTAAGTTTACTTCTGGTTGGCTCTCACACCTTTTCCTGATTTCCTGTCTGAACAGAAAAACGATGATGAGTGCGCAGTGTGCAGAGATGGAGGTAAACTGATCTGCTGCGATGGTTGTCCAAAGGCCTTTCATTTAGGCTGCCTTGTACCTCCCCTCACAGAAATACCCATGTAAGTACTGGAGCTGTGGAAAAAATCATCACTTCATAGAACTTAGGGTTGCTGTGGCTCAGCAAGGGGCACCTCATCTTGGAGTCAGAAGGTTGTGGGTTTGAACTGTGCTCAGGAGTTGAGAGCACGTAGTCTGGATTGTTATTTTAATGCAATTTGTCATTGTTCTTCGCTGCCATTTGGATGAGACTTTAGACCAAAGTCCCTGTATGTACCCGCAATTGGATATTGTGACACTAGTTCAAAGCAGCACAGTACTCCCTAGTATCCACCCAACATTCATAAGCAGTTTATTTGGTGTCTATTAGTCAGTAACTCAGTAAGGCTTTTTCAACAGCACTTTCCAAGCCCATGATCTCCACCACCCAGAAGGTCAAGGGCATAGCAGATTTGGGTAATGCTACATTTGCACATTCCCTTGTGACTCCCACACTATCCTGATTTAGAAATATCTCCCTCAATGTCACTGCATCCAAAATGCTGGAACTCTCTTTCTCACAGCACTGTGGATCCACCCTACACCAGTGAGACTGCAGTGGTTTAGGAAAGCAGGTCATCACCTTCTTGATGGCAGTTAGAAATGGCTAATAAATGCTGGTCTGGCTGGTGAAGCCCACGCTTCATGAAGAATTTTGTTTTAAATAACATTATTTATTGCTTGTGGGGCCTTTCTCTGCAAATTGATTGCCATGTTTCCAATAGTGACCACACTTCAAAATTATACCCTTAGTGGTAACCAATTTGAAACAAGCTGAGGTTGTGAAATAACAAGGTGTAGAGCTGGATGAACACAGCAGGCCAGGCAGCATCAGAGGAGCAGGAAAGCTGATGTTTCCGG